CACTATTAGGATGTCCCAAGGTGGCCGGGAGACCGCGAACAGTTTTGAAAATCGGCGCTGGGTTTCTCAGACCCTGTATATGTCGTAATCGATCGAACCAGTAGCGTACCGGAGGAAGTGCAAGTAACCATAGTATGTGGCGCTGGGTTTTCCAGTCCTGAAGGCGCCTCCGCCATAGCAGGCGCTTTGAGGGTAGCCGGATTTGGAAAGAGAACGTAGACCGAGAATGAGGAAGGAAGAGGTTGGCGTCGGAAAGGAAGATGGAAGCGACAGGAGGCAGAAAGGGGGAGCGGGGAGGGTCTGGGTTGCAGGGCGCGGGAGCACATACCGGCCAATGGGAGTAAGGGGAAGGGATCGTGATCTGTACGTAGTAAAGAGTGAAGTGACGAACATGGGAAAGGTGGGGATAGGATAGTGAAGACACGTACAGGGCAGTCTGCAAGAACTATATAAAGGAGGAGGAGCACGTATCTATACACACTAGTACGAGATTTGTATTCTCTGGGAAGCCCCCTGAAGAGTCTGCCGTGTAAGCCGGCAGCGAAACGCGTCGGGGCAACGCGTACTATGCTTCATGGTGATTTTTCGTGGGAATGAGTACGAACTTTTTATTGCGTGTGAGATATCGGGCTGTTTTCCTCCTTTTATTTCTTCTTCGACTTCATCTTCGTCTTCGTCTTTCTTCTTCTGATTCTTCTTTTTCTTCTCCATATGGACCGCCTTCTGTGATTCTCTATTAGCGTGGTAACCGGCGTGTTCGGACATCTGCTCGGTGGCTACGGTGAAGGAGGAGGAGGAGGAGGAGGAGGAGGAGGAGGAGGAGGAGGGGGGGGGAAAGGAACAGTGTATGGAGCACTGAGATCTCTGTTGAAGACAAGAAGATCTGAAGGGCTGAAGTATCGAAACCGAGTCGTGCGCAACGGGTGAAAGTCCGGAATCTACGGCAATAACACGGATGACTCGAGGAAGGTATGATACCGGAGGTTAGATGATCCTGAGATCACTGCGTTAAGGGCGTGATCGTCCCGAGACGATCTATGCGCAGGAATGGTAAGATTTTTGGTGAGCACGCTGGCTTGAGCCAGGGGAGTTATAACCGGTATGTTATGTGTCCTTGCGGTATTCGAGGAGGTAGTTGGAAGGCTGGAAGTACGGGGTGGCATTTTGAACTGTGCGTGTCTTTTAGGTGGGTGGTATAGCGAGGAAAGGGAGGGATGTCGAGTAGGAGTTTTCGCGATCTAGAACTAGAACGGCAGTTTTTAGAGGTGCAGAAGATTATTGAAGAAAACTTAACCCCGTTGATTTTGTAGCGTTGCAGTTTAGGGACGAGAGTACTAAGGAAGAACTGATTTACGAAATCGAATCTGTATTAGGGAGCGTTCATAGTATTGGGTGCTTGATTAGGAACCAACGGTGGAGGAGGAGGAGGCTGGAAAGGAGGCTGGAAAGGAGAAATCAAAGGAGGTGAGCAATGGCGAATGTGCCGTTGGGAGCTTCACCAGTGGCCGGATACGGAGTACCACCGCCTGTGGCGCAGAACGGTAGCCAGGCGGGCGAGATAGTGTGCTATATATGTGGCAAATCGGGACATTACGCGAGGAATTGCTGGGCAGCAGGGAGAGGACGACCGCCCCAGCAGTATCAGGTTCCGCCGGTTACGATGGCAGGAGATGACGAAACTAGCGAAATGAAAGCGTATTTTCGGAATAAGATTCAGAAGCAAAAGGCTGAAGAGGAGAGGAGAACGAAGGAGGAGGAGGAGAGGAGAAGGAGGGAGGACGAGGAAAGGAGGGAAGCGGATAGATTGAGAGAAGCTGAGGCAAGAGAGGCGAGACTGGAAGCCAATCTTCTGCGTCTGATGAGTCAGCAGGGGAAACCTTCAGCGAGTAATGCTCCACCATTTGGGAAGAAGAAATCACCAAATACCAAAGCTCGGATGTTGAGAGAAATCCGGAGCTATCTAGATGAATCAGAAGATGAGAGTGAGGAGGTGAAAGAAGAGGCGGGAAGGTTGATAGATGCCATTGAGAGACGGAAAGGGAAGGGGTTAGCGGGGAGAGGCGTGTGTCCAATGTCAGGATGAAATCTACTAAGGCTTCACCTATCCTAGTGGATGACCTTCCGAATGACATTCATACTCCCCCCGTGAGGAGGGTGAGGGAAGATCGGGTGGCGACCGCGTGGCGACTAGTGGAGAAGTATTGGAATACGCGTTAGAACTGCACCAGAAGCTATCTGCGAAGAAGGTTCCAGAACTCCGCAAGATTTGCAATGAAGAAGGCGTCGAGTGGACGAAGAAAGACCTGGCGGTGAATGAGTTAGTAAGATGCAGGACAAGATTGGCGTATGGGGAATGCAGCRACAATGCCCATTTGTCTGACAGGTAAGGATGATCATGGATCACCTTGAGAAGCTTAGGGGGCTGATGTTTGATGAGGGAAGAAGGGGAGGTCAAAGTAAGGCTGGGTTAGACGTCGGCATTGAGGATGAGATCCTAAGACGTTTTCTTTTGATSGTGATTGATGGCTACTACCCTTGGGYGAAGAAGTGGGTGAAGTTGATAGATGGGGAAAAGGGAGGATTGTCCACAAGAGAAAAAGGCGTGTATGTGCTAGTAAGTCCCTGGTGCAGACACTTCTACATTGGATGCACCAAGAGGACGTATATTATCCGATGGAATGAGCACGTGAATTTTGCGAGTTCCGGGAAGCTTGGGAACGCGCCTAAGCTGCACGCGTGGTTGAAGGTATTTGGGTGGGAGAATTATCTGCTATTACCACTAGTCTCAGGCATTGGCGACTCGTTGGTTGTGGAGAAGTCGTTGATTAAGCGGTTCTCACCAGCTCTGAATACCCAACATAGATCTGACCAGGGGAGGAAGGGGAGACGAAGAAAAGGGAAGAGGGAGAGAGGGAAGAGGGGTACGGATGCCGGAATTGGAAGGATTATCACTTTTAACGAGGGTTCATCTATCATCGATCTATTGAAGGATTTACGTGGGTCGGTGGCACCAATACACGTGTCCACGTCAGGAGGTGAAACGTGGATAGACAGGTGGAAGGTAGTGAAGGGCACGGTTGGGGAGAGCATCGTTAGTGTACGGGGGAAGGATAAGTGGTTGAAAGACTGTAAGCAAGAATTTGAAGTTGGGGGAGAGTTTGTTATAATCCGGATCAGAGTGACGTCGTCGGCGATTGAGCATCACAGAAATGTGCTGCGGGATATGCTGAGGCAACCATGGAGGATTAGGACGCTATATAAGAAGAAAGCCAGGGAGCTTTTGGCTCTGTATAAGACTGCAGCGACATTTGGGAGGAAGGTCTCGAGGTATCAACTGAAGACGAAGATTACGAAGGTAATTTGAGCGGTATACGGGACAGAGGTTCGGAGGAGACCAATCGTAAGGGTACCGTACTCTACTAATGTGTGCTCGTTGACGATTAGGGAGTTAGCAGCGAAGGCTGTTGGAAGCTGTATCCAGGATCCACATCTGCGGGTGTATGTGACTCATAGAACGAGGGTGGTGTATAAGAAGCATCTGACGGTGGGACAGATCATACACAGTCATCGGTTGAGTGCAGAGGCATCAGAGGCGGTATGCGTGTGTGCAGAAAGCAGATGGGATAGAACACAGGGTCACGTGAAAGTAAGATTGGATGATATTCCAGATGCACCGAACTTCGTGAAGAATTCGAAGAACATTACGTGTCGCGATATCGTGACGAGTGATGTACTAGCTGACAGTATCAGAGAGACAGCCAAGCCCTGGAGTAAGGGAAAAGGTGTGTGGATAGATAGAGTGAAGGTTGACGCATGTCTGAAGTACGTGAGGAGGAGTGAGCATCGGGCTATGACCGTGTCGGAGGTGAGGAGGTGGGCCAGCAGCATTCAAAGGTTGGTAGCTGTTCCGATTGACAGCAATCCTGGAGCTACTTTGATCATTTGTCCGGTTTTGTATTTACATGCTTGCAAGATGACATTTAACTGGAATCCTGGTTTCCTACCTGTTGAGACGACAGAAGAAGACGTAGTTAAGGAAATGAAGAGGAAATATGAGACGGCAGGACTGCGATCTATTGCAGTATGGGGGAAGGCAGGCGAAATCGGGAAAGGGTATGTGTTGCCGAAAGATAAGGATGTCAACCGGTGGAGGCCGATTTCACCTGCCACCAAGGATCCTGCAAGGCTGGCAGGTTCAAGGATAGGGAGGGCGGTCAGGTTCATGCTGTTTAGTATGATGAATGACAGGCACTTCGATTTGCGATCGACCGATGATCTGCGAAAGCGGTGTGGGGAGATTCAGGAGGAGCTGGCAGAAGGAGGAGATGGGATTGTGGCGAGAGGTTATGATATAAAAGACATGTTTTCAAAACTGTCACATGGCAGCATTATCAGTGCGGTTAGATGGGTGAGCGATGTACATCAGCAAAAGGGAATGGTTGGCGTGAGAGTAAGTCAGAGAGGGAGGACGTGCATGATGGCTAGAAACAAACGGAAGACTGAGGGGTTTGTTCTCTTAAATTTTCGGTTGATAGTAGCAGCAGTCACGTTCGAGCTTACTAATACGTACGTCAAATGTGCGGGGCAGATTTTGAAGCAAGAGTTTGGGATTCCCATGGGTAGGAACTCAAGCCCTGCACTCGCATGTTTAGTATGTGCCCAAGCAGAAGCGGAATTTTTATGCAGTCTTGGGAGGGAAGTGAGGTTCGTGAGAGGGATAAGGATCATTGATGATGTGGCGGTGTTCATTGGCATCGAGGGAGGGGGTAGAGGGACATGTGGCCGGGTAAAAGGTTGTTCATGAGGTTTGAGGAATGCTACGATGATAGTCTGAGTCTGGTAAGAAAAGATGAAGGAGGGAATTGCTTTGAATTTTTGGGAGCCAAGGTGATGATTGAATCCACAGCGAAGACCGTCATCCATGTGTTTCCAAAGACCCGGAATCAGCAGTACTTGGCGGACCATGGACGGCTGAGGATTCAGTCCATGCAAGACTACGAGTCGTATTCGAAGAAATCTACGAAGAAGATGACACTGTTCAATAGCATGATCCGGGCTATGAGGATGTCCACATCTGACGAAGCAACCATCGCCGCCATCACAGCTGTTATGATTGAAGCACGCCTCCGGCGGTATCCGCCGGAGGTCTCTCTCGCTGCCTTAGCTAAATTTGCTAAGTTCTCCGGGAGTCTCTGGAGAGATGAGCTCTCCAGACTGTACCCTGGAGTCGTAAGATATTTGCCCTTTCACTGATGGTGTGGAGTAGGGTGTGGCAGTATGCATGGCAGAACATGGGCTGTGTATCAGTTTTTGTCCCCCGAGGGTTAATAAGCGGCCTCGTAAGGGGAGTTTTGTCGACAAGCAGCCGAACCGAGAAGGGGTGGGGTCAGCCAGCCGAGTAGTTGAAAGTTTTAGCTTGTTTTTTTCTCTCGTGCATTGTACTTCGTTTTTCGGTTCTTTTTTTTTTTTTCATTTTCAATGGGCTTTTCTTTTCTTTTCGTTTTCTCATTTTAGCGCTGTTTCCTTTAAGGAGCTGTACACTATTAGGATGTCCCAAGGTGGCCGGGAGACCGCGAACAGTTTTGAAAATCGGCGCTGAGTTTCTCAGACCCTGTATATGTCGTAATCGATCTCGAACCAGTAGCGTACCGGAGGAAGTGCAAGTAACCATAGTATGTGGCGCTGGGTTTTCTAGTCCTGAAGGCGCCTCCGCCATAGCAGGCGCTTTGAGGGTAGCCGGATTTGGAAAGAGAACGTAGACCGAGAATGAGGAAGGAAGAGGTTGGCGTCAGAAAGGAAGATGGAAGCGACAGGAGGCAGAAAGGGGGAGCGGGGAGGGTCTGGGTTGCAGGGCGCGGGAGCACATACCGGCCAATGGGAGTAAGGGGAAGGGATCGTGATCTGTACGTAGTAAAGAGTGAAGTGACGAACATGGGGAAGGTGGGGATAGGATAGTGAAGACACGTACAGGGCAGTCTGCAAGAACTATATAAAGGAGGAGGAGCACGTATCTATACACACTAGTACGAGATTTGTACTCTAGGGGAAGCCCCCTGAAGAGTCTGTCGTGTACGCCGGCAGCGAAACGCGTCGGGGCAACGTGTACTATGCTTCATGGTGATTTTTTGTGGGAATGAGTACGAACTTTTTATTGCGTGTGAGATATCGGGCTGTTTTCCTCCTTTTATTTCTTCTTCGACTACATCTTCGTCTTCGTCTTTCTTCTTCTGATTCTTCTTTTTCTTCTCCGTATGGACCGCCTTCTGTGATTCTCTCTCTCTCTCTTGCGCGTGCACGCCAACGAAGAGAATGTTACAATTTAAAAAAAGAAGAAAAAGAAGACGAAGGAAGAAGAAGACAAAAGGAAGGAGGAAGAAGAAGACGGAGGAAGAAGAAGACGAAGGAAGAAGAAGATGAAGAGGAAGAAGAATTTGAAAGAGCGAGGCCAATCGCTCAGTATCTTCGCATATAAAAGAAGAAGACGAAGAAGAACAAGAACAAGAAGAACAAGAAGAAAACCACCACGACCTTATGGGCCAAGCTCCATATCCATTCCGGGGAGCATCCGTCCGGTTACAAATAGTAATAACAATAATAATAATAACGAGTATTAATGACAATGAAATTTATAATTTCGTATTCTGAAAAAGACATTGTAGCCCTGTCCAGGACAAGGAGCTTCTCCAGATATAGCTAGAACATCCCAGGACCTTGGAAAAATAATAATGACAATAAAAATTATTCTTTCGTTTGTTTCTCAAACTTTTTCCTTCAAGATCAGAAAACATCAACAAACATGCAACAATGGTATCATGTGCACAACCGGCACCAGTTTTTTTTGTTTTTTTTTTTTGGACGCACAGGGATCATATACCTGGGGTCTGGTCCCACCTACCGTTGTTGAGTTTAGAAAACTCACCGGTGTGACACCATTTTGACATTGATAAATTCGAAACAAGAAATAAAAAAACTGAAAAAAAAACGCTACAAACAGCTTTTCTCCTTATTCTTGATAACACAACTCAGAGAAATGAAACATGTCTGGCACAGTCGGAGTGAATGCCTCTGTGGAAAAGGGATACTCCCCGTGGTGAGGGGACAGGAGGTCACCATTTGTAAAATGGGCTGGGACAACGTGGATGGCCAAATGCATTCATTGCCCAAAGAACGAAACAAGTTCGATGCCAGAGAGCCAAACACAGCTGTCCGAGTTCCTCCGTTTCAGGATGTAATGATGTCTAAAAAAACACATGGACAAGGCACTGCAGTACCCTACCGACGTTTCCTCAACGCAAAATGGTTTCCCACCCAAACCCCAATGGCCAAAGCATACTACAAAACGGATTTCGCGTCAAATGAAAAATCTACAAAATGGCCAAATCTAATAATACTATAATAGGTGATTCTCCTCCTGTATTTCAGTACACTTGCAGAAAGAAATGAATGAACTTGAGAGGAGAGAGAAGGTTAGAAAAAGAAGAAGAAGTAAGAAAGAAGAAGAAGATGATGTACACCAGCATAGACAAATGATAAAGCTCTTCTTCTTCACTCAACCCTCTCTTCCTCCTTATCTCCTCCTCTCTTATTCACACAAGAAATAATAATACAATGTTGGATAGCTGAACCAGAATCAAAGTCCGAATCCCTCTTCTACTGCAGGTATCACGTTAGGTCCACCATAGCCATGGCCGCCTCTCCCACTCTTCACTTTCATAGGCCGAGGCTATGTGAGACTACTGCCCAGAAGTTCAAAGGACAACCCAAAGTAGATATGGCTTCCCTAGCTCAGGCCGCCATGCCTGACTCTGCCTCGAAGCTTCTTGGTGTAGCTCAACCCCAGCTGGGGCCTTCCTGCTGCAGCGCCCACCAACGTGATGAAGATGGCTGCCACCATAGCCAGGTAAGTACCTCTGGCACTCCTCCCCCTTCCTGTCCTTCCTCCTCCTCCGAGTCCTTGCTTCTTCCCCAGCAGCGCTGCTCCAGCCAGCACTCACCAGTGTGTCGCCAAACTTGCACACCGACAATGAGGCTGGGCTCTTCGCCCGGCCTGGAGAAATAGCGGTCTGCTTGCCTCTTGGGCGGTGACTTCCAGGCCGCTCGACCTTCCCAAGCAACCGGTACCTCCTCCCTTTCGGAGGGAAACATCATTGTAGACTCTGATATTGCACGTACAGGCCCTAGACTCGGACTGGTTGGACTGGTACCCACCTAGACCTAGCCTACAATTACTGGGCCTCTTCAAAATGCCACTTTTGTCTTCTTCTGCTCGGACTCCAGTACCCGCACATCTACCTCTTCAGGGTGCGCTACCGGCCTACCTGCTACCTGAGTGTTTTCCCCCGCTGCAGTCCCTCAATGTCATGGCCACAGGTAAGTACCCGCCCTGAGGGCCCAACGAACGAACAAGTGCCCTTACGGGCCACGCACACACTCAAGCCAACCAGCACTCAGACAGACATGCAGTCCAGCAAGCGTGCACGCACACAGACTTAGTAGCAAGTGGGAAACTCAGCAAGGCATTCAGTCCATGAGCAAAACTCAGAAATCAGCTGTGTGTTTCAGTCCATGTTTGGTCAGGTCATCACAACCATAAGATTCGCAATATACATCAACGGCAGAGCTCCATCCCACCATGCCGCACGTGATAGAAAGCTCAGCGTTGAGAAAACTCAACGCCGTAAGTGGGACCAGACCCCTGAACAACATCTAAATTTCAAAAACAAATTTGAAGTTTAAACAATAGTAAAAAGTACTAAAAACAAAAGAGAAAAAAACTTAAAAAAAGATATGGTTTTCAAACTTTTCATCCATAACTGCCAAGCAAAAAGCAAACCAGCATGCAGGGGTTATATATAGGATTTTTAAAATTTTCAGAGGGTGAGGCCTGGAGATATCATCCACGAAAAGACAGGACCAGGGTAATTCAGAAATACTTTATTCATCGAGATCCATCAGGATTCGAACTCTGGTCTGCACTTCAACAGTTAAATGGGCGCGCCAACTGAGCTAGGCCCGTTGGTGTATGGAAGGAAATTTGGTAGAGGGCTTCAGTACGTGGGCTACCAACTGGCCCACCCGGGTCGCCTTGCTTGCCCGGGCAGCCCGGGTTGGCAATGCCCTGGGAAGGTCCCTGCAAAAAAAAAAGGGCCTGGGAAGGTCCCTGCAAAAAAAAAGGGCCTGGGAAGGTCCCTGCAAAAAAAAAGGGCCTGGGAAGGTCCCTGAAAAAAAAAAAAAAAAAAAAAAAAACCTTCAAACAACTATGTTATGGACAGTTATGCAGAAGGGTGGCATCAAAATTCTTTACCAAACAAAAATGTCAAAAAATGAAAATTTGAATGAGAAATTTCCATGGTAACCGCCCGGACGTCCAGACCGGGTTCCAGACAGTCCGGTGTCTGGCCCCCATGTCTGGATGGAGGCCCCTGGGGCAAAAAAAATAAAAAAAAATGGGGCGGCCCAGGACATTTGTCGAGTCCTAGCCGCCCCTCGAAAAATAACGGGGTGATTTTTAAGTGTCCTTTCACCCCACCGGACATGGCCTAGAGGTCCAGACACAAGACA